TTGGCTTCAGACTTCCTAAGAACTTTCCCTTGGAATGTAATTCATTCTGGGGGGAAAAGTAATGAACCGTGGTCTGGGTTTATCCTAATTGGAGTATGGCATGCCTCTCACAGATAGATGGGTTCACCAAGCCAGCCCTGAATTTGTTTCCCACTACCAAGTCTCTTAAAATAAAATGGAGTTTCCAAGCCGGTTGTGCAAACATTAAAAAAAAATCTGATAACTTCCCATCTTATTTCTTAATAAATTTAACAGTAAAGGAAAGCCTTCTGGCAGAGTGTTATTGAATTCCTAAATCTTTGGCTTCAAAGAACGTCACTTGGATTATTAGCAAACATTTATCCACCCCTTTTTTGTGCCAGGTTGTCCATATATATTTCCCCATTACAGCCTCCCAGCCACGCTAGGAGGTAGATAGTATCAAACGTTTTCCAGGGGGAGGAACGGAGGCTCAGAGGAGCCAAGTCATTAGCCCCGTGCCACACAGCTGGGAGATGGCAGGGCAGGAACCTGCACCCAGCGGGGTCTGTTGGTGCCTGTTCAAGGGCTGGTCTTCAGCACCCCAGCTGCTTCCTTCCCATTTCTCAAAGCTGGGGCTGATGCCAGACCCTCCACTTTAAATTCTGAGGATAGCTTAGCAGAAAACAAGGACTAGCTTGGCAGGCAGACTTGGAGTGTCTGTTCTCCTCTTGCAGCCAGAGACAGACAAGGCAGAACCCAAGCCCGTGTCCATGGTGCCAAGACGTACGTCGCCTCCTTCCTCTCCTTCATCGCCATCATCAGCATTGTCACTGAGGGGAGAATGGCTGCGTGCTGATGGCTGTCTTATTTGCTTTTCTCTTGGTGGGTAAATAGTATCCAGGTCCGATAATAGAACGGAACACAGAGAGAAGCTGAGAATGAGGGAAAGGATGGCAGGGCATTGTATTTGCTATGGGGCCGTCCTTTGCATATAGGAAGGTAGGCATATCGGGAGGCAGAAATGCACCCCTGATCACCCCCATCAGACACAGAATGCCAGATGTGGTTGTCCCAGGGGAGCGGTTCTCATATTTTATGTTCTAAGTGACCTAACCAGAAGGTTGTCTGTCTCCAGTCGCACAAGAATTTGGAAAGATGATCCACAGGCTTGTTTGAATCCAGACGTTAAATAAACAGAACTGCACATTTGTGGGGACGGGGTATTTATCAGGCACTTAATGGAGGCCAGAGGCTTTAAGTATATTATCTTGTTTAATCACCACAATAAACCGATGAAGTAGGTACTTTAACCCCTCTTGGCAGACGTGGAAGCTGACTGGGGCGCTGGGAAGTTCTTCGTCCGAGTTGCACGCGAGGCTGCAGCAGGATTGCAGCTTGGCTGCACTGGGGCCCGTGGTTATGCCAGGCCCACGCTGTCCCATCTACAGCCAGATCTGTCCCAGAGCAGAGAGCCCTGTTTATGGCTGGAATTGTGGACACTCAAAGGCATTAGTTCATCATTTTTAGAGACCCACAGACCCCTTTGAAAATGTAAATAAAATTCCTCCTTAGATAAATGTACAACCCACCCTAAAGTAATAGAATTTCAGGGAGACCCTGACCCCTTCAAGCCCATCGGGGACCCTGGCTTATGATCACCTGCTCTCAAGGGAAATTATTTCCTTTATGTCCAGTCAAAGTCATATTTGGACCTTGGTTCCTCCGTCTTTGAACTTGACTCTAATCGCTAAGCTGTGACTGTCCTTGGCTCCCGTAATGGAAATTGATGAGAAGTCCGAAACTCAGGCCCGTGTCTGACACTAAAATATGATGCTGGGCCCTTCTTATTGACCTAGTTGATTTTTATACAAAAAAATAAATAACTCTAGTTTATATGTATACCACGTATAGAATCCTCAAAACGAAATAAAAAAAAGAAAACCCTGGTATATAATCTTTGCATAATAGATCAATTATAGATTTCCCAAATTTCAGTAATCTAGCTTTCAAACTTTCTTTGAATACTTATATTTTCACATTTAAATTTATAACTCTAAAGGAAGGAGGAATAATTCCAAGGGAAATTGTTTATTCCTATGATGAGGCATAAAGTGGTCCAAAGCTGGGTTTATACACATTAATTGATTTTCCTTGCAGTTAACATATGTTGAAGACCTACTGTTCACTCAGCACAGGCAAAATACTTTGGTACACGTTATCTCATTTCATCCCCGACTCCCAGCAACCTTGGGAGGGAGACAAGGCCATTACTCTTACCCCCGTTTCACAGAAGAAGAAACTGAGGTCCAGAGAGGCTCTGAGACCTGCCCAAGGTTAAACATAGGAGGGAAGTGGCAGAACCAGGACTGAAACTGTGGGTTCCAGCCTCCACGTGCTGTTTGCTTGTGCCTCAACCAACGTGTAAAGCAACGTTTTAAGAGGCAGGTGCGGGAGAAGAACCTGCTGCGCATCATGCAGACACCAAAAAAGCAATCCTGTGGGTGCATGTAAAGCTCATCTGTACTATTAATTAGAAAACTTCATCCTCCCTGACGTTCAGGGCTCACTCAGGCATCTCCTTTGCTGTGAAGCCCCCTGACCACCACCCCCTTTTCCCCAGCAGGGGGCCTCATCACCCGGAGTTTTGAGTCACTATCATCTGGTGCCATTTGCAGTGAGCACTCTGAATTAGAGTCAGAGGCGTCAGGGGCATCAGATAGGGGATTGGCCCAACCTTCCTGGCCATGGCAACGGCTACTTGACTTGGCCTCCAACCAAACGTCTCCGCAGGTGAGCAAACAGGAAGAAGCAAGGATGAGTCAGGGCGTCCCTCCCTGCCTGGGGTGAACAGGAGGAGGACTTGGCTATTAAGGGAAAGGGCACAGGGTGGAGGCCGGCCTTGCAGGAGAGGCATTTCTCTGAAGGTTTTGTCTTTCCTGAAAGGCTCAGGGTTCCTGAAGGGCAGGGCTGGCCTCTCAGTCATCTCTGCATCCCGGCCGGAGGCTAGCCCAGCACTGGGGAGCGTCCGGTAAATGGTGAATCTGTGTTGTCCAATTAATGCCGAGTGGCATGCTGGCACATCCACAGTGTTCTTCAAACTGCCTGTCATGACCCATTAGTGGGTTGTGAAATCACTTTTAGTGCTACAGACCAGCATTTTTATTAATAAGATAGAAGAGAAGAGAAATGAAAAGAGAAAAAATTGAGAATGCATCCTACATAGGAAGGATCAGTATCATTTTCCATGAATTTTTTTTCATGGAAAACATGAAAAGTGTGTGGTGGGCGTGGTGTGTGCATGTGTGCTGGGCCATGATAGAAAACACATTCTTATTCTGAATCACAGTCACAAATCTTGAAACCCAGTGGATAAAGAACAATCTTAGAAAGAAACTTATTGGACCAGTTTCCTGATTATAGAAACACTAAAATCTAATGGTCATTTGCATCCTTCATCCGTTTATTCATTATTCATCCAGAAAACTTCTACTGCAGGTGCCTTCACCATTGTATCCACCTGCTAGGTGTGAAGACGAAACAGTCAGGAACAAGTGACTGGCTCAGTGTGGCTGCAGCCACTAATTAGGCAGCACGGGCCAGAAGAGGTGTGTGACAGGGGCCGCCTCTCACCTGCCCGTCTTCAACAGAGGAAACTTTGTTCGCTGAACTTTTGTGGTTTGAGCAGGGTGAGGGGTGGGCTTGAACTACCTACTTGAGTATGTCTTCTGCTTCTTTAGCATCTTCAAAATGCCTAGTAGGGTTGGGTACACAGTAGGCACTCAATAAGTGTTTCCTCCTTGTTAACAACTGCTCGTTCTTCAGGTCCCTCCTAAGACATCCCTTTATTCCTCATCTTCTGCCATAGAGCGTGTATCAGACGGCTTTGTAGTTGTGCGTGTAATTCGTCTCCTTCCCGTTAGACTGTGAGCCCACTGAGGGCGGGGAGTATGTGTATTCTGTCCACCACTGTATCCTCAGCCCCTAACACAGCACAAAGCCTGCTTGCCTTGTATCCTCAGTGACTGGCTCTTGGTAGGTGTATCTGTTAGTTACCACCATAATAATGCTGAGTAAAAAACAACCCCGCTATCTCAACGGCATGCCAAGTTAGCATTTGTTTTCGTGGAACAGCTCTGAGCTGCAGGCTGGTAGTGGATCTGCTCCATGTGTCTCTCACCATCCTTGGACCAGCAGGCTAGCCAGGGCCTGCTTTTCTCATGAAAGTGGCAGAGGCACAGGAGAGCGAGTTCAACTGCACAGGCACTTGTCAGGCCTTTGGTTCCATTGGGTCCGTTAACATACCTTTGGCCAAAGTCAGTCAACTAATCAAGTCCAAAGTGAAGGAGCAAAGAAGCTTCCTCTGCCTGTGGAGGTCGGGGTGGTCCAGGGAGCAGTGAATATTTCTGAACGACCTACCAAGCCAAGCTCTCAGGTTCTTGCTGAATGTTGGTGGGATGGAAAGGAATGGAAGAGAACAATTGGATTCCAGGGATTTCCCATGGGTATTCACCATACAAGTTACAAAAGCCCATGGGGACTCTTCTCCCTCCTGACGTGGAGCTCCACCGAGAAAGCCAGAGCCTTACAGATAGCAGCCCAGCCATCCAGAGTTGAACTGGTTGGGCTAATGAAGCTAGCCCTCAGAGGGACGGCCAGCAGAGACTCCCTCCAGGGCACTCAGGGATGGCAGCTGCCTCGGGGATGGAGAGTGGGACAGTGACCACTAGCTTCTCATGAGGCATCTCTGAGAGTAGAATCCTTGAAGGCCCGAGGACAGGCTTCTATTTTGTGTCCTTTGGACCTGTGTATGTACAGACGGTGTCCCCAAGTTTGTTAAAATCAGCCGGTCAGGACTCGGGGAAACCTTGTTAAATAGCCATCATTTCTAGAAGGGGTCCAGGGCCGTGGTTCTCACTCTGGCTTGGCAGTACCAACTCCAGGGCGGTTTGAGGTTGTTCGAGGTTCTGCACCCCTCCTTTGGTTAATCGAAAAATAACCATCTGTTCTCCTTTCCTTCTCTCTCCCCCCACCCACTGCAGGAGTGCTGTGCCTGCCCGACAGCCTGAACCTTCACAGAGACCCGCAGCGGTCCAGCAAGCCCGGAGAACTGCCCATGTTCAGCCAGTCGGAGTTGAGGACCATCGAGCAATCCTTGCTGGCCACCCGCGTGGGCAGCATCGCGGAACTGAGTAAGTGGATGCTGGTTCTCAGGCCCTCTCTGTGCCCAAGGCGCCCGCTGCCCTCAGTGCAGTGCTTTGTAACCGGCCAGGTGACACCTTTCATTGAGCACCTGCTGTGTGCACAGAGCCATGCCAGTGGTGGCTGTGGGGAAGGCAAGGGCACTGGAGTCAGGCAGGCCTGGGAGCTTTCCTGGCTCTGCCACTGATGTATGCCACGGTCCTAACCTCCTCTGAGCCCCAGCTTCCTTTTATATAAAATAGAGAAAATAATAGTACCTAGCTTAGAGGTGAATCCAGTGAGCTAATGCCTGGAAAGGAATTTGCCACTGTACCTGGCACACAGTAAATGCTGTAAGGATGGCGGCCGTCCACTGTTGATTTCCACAATCGGATCCATTGAAAGCATATGACAGATCACCCCCTCCGTTCAGAATCCTCCACTGGCTCTCCATCTGACCCATAGGAGAAGCCAAAGTCCTCAGAATTGCTTCCAGGCCCCCCACCATATCCCTCAGATGTTTCTTCTTCTGCTCTCCCCTGAGGCCCACTGACCTCAGCCACTCTGGCCCCTTGTTCTTCCTTGAACGCACACAGGCATACCTCAGGACCTTTGCACTTACTGTTCCCTCTTCCTGGACCACTCTTCCTCCAGACAGCCACATGGCTTGCTCCCTCATTACTTTCAAATCTCACCCAAACGTTACCTTCTCAATGAGACTTTCCCTGACCACCCTATTTAAAATTATAGCACCCTTAGGACACTTGTCCCCCTATATATTTTTGGTTTTTAATAACAGCTTCACTAAAATATTATTTATGTGCAGTTCACCTCTTTAAAGTGTACAGTTCAATGGGTTTTAGTATATTTCCTGAGGTTTGCCACCATAACCACAATCCATTTTAGAACATTTTCATGAACCAACCAGAAACCCAGTCAGTAACCATTAGCCATCACTCCCCTCCCCGTTCCTTCCTAGACACACTAGATTTTACTCATTTTTTTTTTCAATTGTCGATTTCTCCCTACCAGAATGTATTCCAGCTGAGAGTAGAGATATTTGGTTTGTTCACTAATGGAACCCCAGCACCAAAAGTACTGCCTGGCACATAGTAGGTCCTCAGGAAATATGAAGAAAGAGAGAGAGAGGAAAGGAGGGAGAAAGAGAGAGAACAGAAGAAGAAAGAGAGAAAGAAAGGGGCAGAAACGTAGAGAGAAGGAAAGGATTGTCAAGAAGGTTGGGTGTCTCAAGTTTGAACAATGACTTGCATCGCCTGCGTGCCCCTCATTCAGGGCTGAGCTCTCTGAGTCTGGCCAATCAGAGGAAAGTAAAACCATGTTTACTTAAGATCCGACTGATTGTCAGATGACTTCGCTGTGTGTTCGTTCCTCATGGGCCTGGAGCATTGATCTCAGAGATCCTAGATTATGTTAAAGTATGAGTTGTGTGAAATTCTAGAAAATCCTGAACTATAAAAGGATTCAGGATCCAGAAGGCAACTTGTGTCTCTTCCCAAAGGAATTCCCTGTACACCCAGCATGGACATCCTCCACTTAGCACGTGGCACCCTACTTGGAAAGAGAAGCCGTAGCTGATTGAGGCCCCATAAAGGGGGCCTTGGTGGTCACAGGAGAGCCACTCCCTCTCGTCTCCATCTCTGAATTTGGAAATTGGGCTTCCATTCTCTTCAAACCCCTGAAGCCACAAGACACCTCTAGTTGTAGAGTCTTCCAGCTACTACTGGTCAGTCGTAGCTTGTTCTTAAACTTTTGTATGCCGTGGACCCCTTTGGCAATCTGGTGAAGCCCATGGACCCTGTCTCAGAATATTTTTAAATGCATAAAATAAGTGCATACGTTTACAAAGGAAACTGATCGTATTAAAATTCAGTTATTGAAATATTTCTAATCTAAATTGTGGTATAGTAATTCTGTGCTTTTTTACTAGCACGTTAGACAACAAGATTTAGCAGCAGCTCTGATGACCCCACTGTAGTGGGGTAGTGATGTGCGTGCAGGATATTTCGAGATATCTGCAATAATTGGCGTGGGATAAGGAAATGTCTGCATCTTAACGGCTCCCCGGGGATTCAGATGTACAGAATCCAAGCAGCCCCCTTGGGGAAACATTGCTCTGAGAAGAAATGCCACATCGTTTGGGACTCTGAAAATTTCCAAGGCCCACCCATGATCCCGGAAACACAGAATCTGGCTACAGGGTTGGGCATAACCTGGGAAGAGGCCCCCTCCCCGCTCTCCCCTGGGGTCTCAAAGGTTTGTCCTGGGATATCTTCAGAGCCCTCCTGGCGTCTGGCACCTGGGCTGGGGCCCTGCTTCCTTCCGGCATCTCTTCGAAGAAGGGATTTGCTAAGCAAAGCCACGCTTCACCTGAGCAGGCAGCCTGCGGGAGCGACTTGCCGCATAAATTGTTTTTAAGGACAATTTGCTCTGTAAATTAAACTCTGTCATTGTCGTCGAATGTTGACTTTCACATATGAATTGTTGGCACACAAATAGATGCTGCTAATTACAAACGGGTTTTGTGCATTCATTAAGTCAGCCCCGTAGAACGTTTGCCCGGAAGCCCGTTGATAAGCCACGTGGGCGAGCAAAGGTAATAAAATTGCCTTCTTTTCTGATCTGACTGTAATTTAGGCTGGCTGGCTCTGTGGTCTGAATCAATACGGCCTTGCTCTGTCTGTATGCATAGAGCTGTCCTTCATATTCAAAGGTTACTCTGCCTGTGGATTCCAGAAACGAAGCAGGAGATGGAGAGAGTTTGTTCCCACACATCCTTGCTCTCCTTGAATCAGGCTATCCAGGCTTGACAGGGGAGCCCCGACCGTGGCCTTCTTAATAGCTAACAATAATCATAGCATCATAGCAGCAGCTGATGTTTATTGAAAGAGGAAACTATGAAGTATCTTTACATGAATCCTTTCCGCTGTGACCATTACTATCCACATTGATATGGGAACGGAGGCGAGAAGTTGTTAAACCACTTGGCTAAGATCAGCCACACCTGAGAGCGGAAGGCTTGAGACCGAATCCGGGTCACACCTCACCACTAGACTACACTCCCCCTGAGGGAGCCCCGCACACGTTTCCACACGTGACAGGTGGAATGAGAGCCCCCTCCGGAAGGTCAGAGTGTTGGTCAGGTCTGTGTTCCTTCCAGCGCCGAGGAGCTGCAGTTTGCTCTGTAGGGTGCAGTGTGGATGCTGACCTCGAAACTATAGTGGAGACACAGAAATTCACAAAGGTGACCAAGAACCTCGCCAGCACTTGGGGGGGGGGTCCACCCCTGCGCGCTGACACTTATTCCTGTAGCCCCCACCTCTATCCTCAAGACATCATATTAAAATCCAGAACTGCCTTGATCCGCCAGGATGTCCAGAGCACTTATCTTTGTCCAGCCTCTTATGGCTTGGGATAAAAATACATCCACTGTTTCTAGAACACCTACTGTGTGCCAAGTGCTTACAATACATTAGAGGCATTTCTATTCCCATTTCGCAGATAAGAAAACTGAGATTTGGAAGGATAAATGTTTTGCCCAAGGCCACACAGCGAGTAAGCGGCAGAGTCATAATTCAAACCAGTTTTTCTGTTTTCCATTTTGTTATGCTGTGTCCAATTCAGCTTCACCCACGGCTTGGGGAACATCTGTTGAACATCAAGTGAATAAATGAATGACCCACAGTGAACTAGTCTGTGAAACAAAAGCTGAAGAAAACGCTACAGGCGAGGGGAACTCTTAATGAAACTCCAGTCGAATATGAACTATTCTGTTGAACTGAGTTTTGAACTGAGACCTAGAACTGACCCTGTGTGTGTCTAAAATATTGGGATGAGAAGCTAAATCAGGACACCACAAAGGACCCCAAACTGTCGCAGGCTGGTGATTCTTTGACCCTGAGCCCTAGGAAATTTGCAAGGTGATGCACTGAACTTCACAGTTGACTTAGAGTCTGGTGGGCGGTCGGGGTCTCCTTCCCTAGGTCTGGGGGCATTGGTCCACCTGGTCCCTCCACTGAGGCTGTGGGGAAAGCACAGGCCTTGGATTTTTCTCACTTTTAAACCAACTCTATCCATTTTAACCCAGTGGGTCCCATCCGATCCCATATTTGTGTCCTCTCAGATCCGGTCTCCGCTCTTCCACCTGACATCCCAGCTTCCCCCAAGATCCAATTAAATCCCCATCAGACAGTCATTAATTATGTTGTTTAAAGGGAAAAAAATTAGGGCTCCCTCGAGAAGTGCCTCTTCCTGTTGTCTTTTCACACTTAACCATGAACTTGTTGTTCCCACTCAGTAAGGCAATCACAACGTGGCCGTTAACTTACAACTGTGTGTAAAAAGGGTTTCTGGGTTGTCTCTCCTCAATGTCACCAGAAAAAAATGCCAGCCCTTATTCCTTGGACAAGGGGGTCTCTCTCCTTGTTTGAGATGCATGTGGGCTCTTTTCAGAGAGTCCTGCTGCCTCCAACCCCCAGGGTGCACCTGTCACCCTCTCTGGTGGCAAGGTAGTCACTGTCCTCTTGGTATTTCTTGAATACTCCATGCATGCTTCCAACCACAGGGCCTTTGCACCTGCTGCTGCTTCTGCCTGAAAAACTCTTCTGCTGATATTTACAAGTCTCCTCCCTTACTTCATTCAGGCCTCCTCTAAAATGTCACCTCCTCAGAGAGGCCCTCCTCTCTGTAACCTCCCCACCCACTCACCCCTCCCCCTCCCCCGTATACACTTTTCCTGCTTTCATTTTCTTCATAGCACTCATTACCACCTGACATACTATATATTTACCTGTTTATTTTCTGTCCTCCCCACCAAGATTATAAATCCCATGAGAGCTGAGACGTTTTTTGAGCATCACTGTATCCCCAGTGCCTAGAACAAGGTCTGGCACACAGTAGGACTGAATAAATATTTGAGGAATGCATGAATGAGTGGTAAGTTTCCCACTGAATCCAGAGTTCAGCCTTCTGTTGTTCCATCCCTGTTCCTCCA